CGCCAGCGCCGCGGGCCGCCGCGGCCGCCGCGGGGCTGCCGGCGCCGGCGGCGCGCTGCGCCGCGTAGTAGTCCCCCGTGTCGCCGCACGCCTCGCTGCCGTCCTCGTCAGCGTCGTCCAGGAAGCGGTGGATGTCGGCCAGCGACGAATCCACGGGGCCCAGGCGCGGGCGGGCCCCCAGGTGCTGCTGATCCGGCGGCGCCACGTCAGCCTTGGCGTCCACGAAGCCGTACCAGCCTGCGAGCCCGGAGGCGCCGGCACAGCGGGGCGCGGGGCGGACGGCGGGCGGGCTGGCGGGGCGTCCTTGCATGCGGGGCGTGCGTCGCCGGTCGCGCGCCGCGGCACGTGGGCCGTCGAGCCCTGGCGCGCGAGTCTCGCGGCTGCACCCCTTCGGGGCACTGGTAGAGTTCTTGGGCCACTCTGGGGCAAGGGCGGCCCAGCCGTGCGCAAGGGCGGAGCCCTGGAAAGCGAACCGTCCGCTCGCACCCCATGCACCCCCCTGCTGCTTTTCCCTCCCCTTCTTGCATCGCCTGCCTCCCGTCAACATGCGTTTGCAACCGCCCCGCTCTCACAAACTCGCCGCTGCAACTACTAGTAAGCCACAACCGCACTGTCCTGGCCCCAGTCCCCCCTCCCCTGGCCAACACGCCGCCCCCGCCACCAAACACATTTCCCCTTGCCCAAACCCCATCCACACACGCACACACACACACACATTCTATCCCACACACAACCTCACTCAGACAAAAAGAAACACTCTCATGGACACATACGTGCCCACATACACACACTCTCTTGCACACATACACATGCACATGCACGTGCACATGCACACACACACGCGTGCGCACCCACCTATCATCTCGTCCGCGACCCCAACACGCAGCAGCTTGGCGCGCCTCATCCCCAGGAATGCCGCCACCGACCACGCCAGAGACCACGCGGCGATCATGGCCGCCCCCAGCAGCTGCAGCGCCAGCTGGCGGCCGTCGCCGCCGTACAGCAGCCCGGTGCCGCGAGGCGTCGTGACGGCGTAGCCTGAGAGCGCCAGGAGCTCCTGATGGTTGCGAAGGGTGCGCGCGTGCGTGTGTTTGTGTGTGTGTGTGTGTGTGTGTGTGTGTGTGTGTGTGTGTGTGTGTGTGTGTGTGAGTGTGAGTGTTTGCGCGCGCGTGCGTGCTTGTGTGTATATGTGTGTGTTGCTTTTTGATGGGCCAGCACAGCTGTGTGTGACAAGGGGTTGGTAGACGTTTCTTGCAGGAGTCTTCGGGAGGAAATGGGGCCGCGTGGGCGCGAGCCCGTGCTCCATGCAGCGCTTAGTCATGCGCACCGCCCACCCCGGCACGGGAGCAGCCCCAGTCCCAACGCAAGCGCGGCGCGCGGTTGACAGGGAGGCAGGGAGACGGGGAGCGGCGGGCGAGGCGCGCGGGGCCCGCTGGCCGCCCACCGGCGTAGCGAAGAGGCCGGCTGCGACGAGCCCCCAGCAGCCGGGCAGCAGGTGCACCGCGGCCGCGTTGACCGGGTCGTCAATCTGCAGCGCGTGCACCGCCCAGACGGATGCGAGGTACAGGGGGGCCGCCAGGGCGCCGATGAGGAACGCGGCGTAGGGCTCCACGACGGACGCACCTGAGGTTTGGGGAGTAGAGGGGCGCAGCTTCGGGTGTGAGGGCGGCGCGGGGATGCCCCCTCCGCCGTGGGGGGCGCTCCGGCGAGGGGCCCACGGCGCGGCCGGGCAAGGTGAGGATGCCCCAGGCTGGCGGGACGGGATCACCATGCAGGGGGGGCAGAGACGCTCCTACCTGTCAAAAATCAGGGCGTTGCGGCAAGCCGGAGTGTTCAACCTCAGCTGAAGCCCTGGCCCCGCCCCCCACCCACAGACCCGGCTCCCAGCCCTCTCCTTCAGGCACGGCGCCGCACGGCCCCTCGCTCTCAACCCCAGAGACCCCCCACCACCCGCCTGCGCTGATGGCCACGAGCCCAGCCATAGCGCCGTCGAGCGCCGGCCGGTGGTCGATGTGCCGCCGCAGCGCCCCGTCCAGCCCCGCGGCCGCGGCGGCGCCCGCCGCGCCGGCGAGCGTCGCGGAGACAGCGGCGCGGGAGGCAATGTAGACGGCGCTGCTGGTGGCCATGAGGGGCACGTTGCTGGGGATGAGGCCGTAAAAGCTGAACCTGCGGCGCAGGGAGTGCAGGGTAAGGGGGGGCCAGGGGTGGTGTGGGGACGGCCATGGCTGAGTGGGGCCGTGTACAGTGCTGAGCATGCAGTGGTGCTCGCATGCTTGTATTTTTTCAACCGCAGGTCCCATAGGATTGCCTGCAAGCGACAGGGCAACTTATAGCCAACTGTACGCAGACCACACTGTGTGTGTGTGTGTGTGTGTGTGTGTGTGTGTGCGTGTGCGCGCGCATGCGTTTCTGTGCAAGCATATGTGCATGCATGCCCACGTGCGTGCGTGCGTGCGTGCGTGTGTGTGTGTGTGTGTGTGTACACGGGCACGCGTGTGCACATGTGAATGCGCGTGGGAGTTCCAGCTGCTCACCAGCGCATCAGCACTCCCGCCGCCACCAGCACCATGCTGCCCGCCGGCATCGGCTGCGACCCTCCATCCGCGTAGAACCGCCCCTGCCGCGCCCCGATGGCGTACGCGCCCGCCAGCGCCGCCGCGCCGGCCGTGACATGTACCACGCCACTGCCCCCCAGGTCTATGAGGCCGTTGCCGCCCAGGATGGGGCCCCCCGCCTCGCGGCGCGCGGAGAGCCATCCCTCGGCCGACCAGACCCAGTGGACCACGACCGGGTACACCCAGCCACCAAAGATGAGCGAGAGCAGCGCGTGCGCGACGAGGCGCGCGCGCTCTGCGACGGCGCCGGATATGATGGCGACGGCGGTGGCCGCGAAGGTGGCCTGCGGGGCGCGTCGCGCCGCACAGCGGTGGCTTTGAGCGTGGGGTGCAGGGAGAACGAGGGCCGAGGCCGAGGTGGGAAGCTGCTGCAGGACCGGGCTGGTCATGCAATCTGTGTCTGTTGGATGCGGCCGAGCGCCCGGACCTGACCCGGCCCGTAACGTCGTCGTTCGTGCCCACCTGCATCATCCACAGCCCGAACCGCGTCACGTCGAGCGCCGCGGGGTCCTCCCTTACAGACAAGAAAAAATCGCGGCTCCCAATGAAGCCGTTCGGCTGCCGCCTGTCGCCCTGCCGCTCCCCAAACGCAAAGGCGTGGCCGACCGCCCACCACACAATCAGCACCGCCGAGGCCTGCAGAAGCGCCTTGAAGGGCACCTGCTTGGCGACGGACGAGCGCACGCAGCCCGCCTCCTGGAGGGCAAAGCCGCACTGCGCAGGAGGCGCGGGCGCGCGCATGCGGGTATGAGGGGGGTCGACATCGTATGCATGCACATATGAGCGTACTGACAGAGCAGCATGTACTCAGCTGCAGTGGGATGTTGAAGCTGCTGAATGCAGTCAGTCGGATGCATTCAGCAGGTTCAGCATCCAACACCATTTGGGGAAAAGGGGGTAGGGATCATCAAGCAAGAACCGACACAGGTGCATGCGGCCTTGGCACTCGCACGCATGTGTGGATACTGGCCGGCGTGAATTTCCCTTTACCTGGCCAAAGAATAGGAGGTAGGCTCCCAGCAGCGACAGCAGGATCTGTATTTCCTGGGTGTCTTGCCAGGGTGCGGCCGATGCCGCCGCCGTCGGTGCAGCGGCAGCGGACGGGTTGCTGTCGAGCACCACGTAGCTGTCGTCCGCGGCCGCCTGCAGCAGCGCCCGAGCTGAATTGATGCATTCCATTGCTTGCACGTGCTTCTGGGGCCCCTCTTGGCCACGTATGAAAGCTGCGTCAGATCGAGCTGTGCACTCGGTCAAACCGAGCTCATCAGAACGAGCACTCGGTGCCGACGCATTTCACGTCGGTTGAAATCTGTAACCTTCAGTTGTGTATTCAATCATGATCGGGGTGTGCAGCTTTTGCCTAGGTGCGCGTGCTGTTGCTGAAGCCTGCGCATCGCTTTAAACAAAATCTTAAATAAAATGTACAGCATGCGCGGATCCTGCCGCTGGTTGATCACGACAGAGGCCAGCTTGCGCTCCTCAAGCTGCTCGCCAGCTGCTCCACACCCGCTGCAGTATCAGCACGCCATCACACATCCAGTCACGAGACAGAGTAGGCAGCTTATTCTATGCTAGTCTGTCCTTCTGGAAGGACAAACTAGCACAAGGACTGGCGGCGTCCTGCGAGTCTTGATTTATGTTCCCAGTCAGAGCCTATGAGGTCGCTTGAGGTGACAACCTGCATGGCTTGCCCTGCATTCAGCGCGCGGCGTGGCTCGAGCTTCGCCGCATCAACCCCTATAACACACACACACACACACACACATACGCACAAGGAGTTTGTGCAAGTTCTCGCACCAGATGCTTGCCACACGCGCCGTCCGCAGAGGCACCTACCTACCACGGATGTGCTGGTGGCAGAGCGAGACAGAACTGCTGCTTAAAATCCTGACCCTTCGGCAGCGGTGTGTTGGACGCACAGGAGGTCCCGGGCTTCTACCGGGACCATGCACCGTCACAGTGCTCCTTAAACCATCAGCTGGTCTGCAGAGCCAGGACTCCCGACAGGCTTCCCAGGGTCTGCATGCATGTAGTACCCCATGAAGTAACCCCACCACATGCAGAGAAGCCAGGGCGCTTTACATGCCAACTCAAATACCATTTCTTCCTTCTTCAAGCACACTATGATGCAGGCAACATGTTTCCACCGAACCACCCTGATAGGCAGCCTGCAAAGAGAGTGAGGGAGGGGTGGGTCAACAGGCCAGGCTGTGTGTCTCGATTTGATATCCCCGGCAGCAATCACACGGACATGCATGCAGGCAGTCAAATAGGATCGCGTCATCTTGATCCCGCACCTGCTTGTGTCGCTGTGACGAACTATTGTCGCGCCTCCTGCACTGCCAAGTATCTGGCAGGCCCAGGGGGGCCGCCACGCAGCCGCAGCCGCAGCCGCAGCCGCCGCAAGCCAGTAGAGTGGTTGGCGCCCCGCGGGGTCCCCATCACAGCTTGAGCACCGCTTGCAGCAGGCCTTCCGCCCCCGCCGCCCGGCACATCCGCGCCAGGTCAGACATGCCTGTCTCCGCCAGCTCGACGAAGGGGTCCACGAAGCATGCGCTCGTCACATCGCTACGGCCCCTACTCGTTTCTTCGCCGCCTCTGTTCTCACGCCGACGCCGCCACTGTTGCTGTTGCCGCTCCTCGTTTCCCTCCTGTTGCTGCTGCTGCTGCTGCTGCTGCTGCTGCTGCTGCTGCTGCTGCTGCTGCTGCTGCTGCTCGTTACTGTCATCATCAATCAGCTGCTCTGCGCGAACCTGCATGGCCTGCCACTTGAGAGATTTGAGCCGCTCGATGTACTCGCGCACCGTGCCCTCGGCCCCTTCGCAGATGATGACACCTGGCATGGGGTTCAGGGCCGTGTGCAGGTGGGCGCAGACGCCGGTGCCGCCACGCGCACGGCAGTGCAGAGCGCATCGACAGTCTTGTGGCATGCACGCGGGTTGTGCAAAGCAACCTCGGGCGCACCTGCTGCCTGCTCCACAAGGACTTTGCCCCATAGCTGGCTGCCCTCTGAAATGATTCGAACTAGAGGGGTGACTGTGCCCGTCCACGCACCCACCCACCCACCCACCTGGCGCGCCCGGCTTGCTGGCACCCATGATTGCGAGCTCACGCGCCCACGCGACAATGAGCTTGCGCTTGGTGGTGCTGTATATGTGATGGAACCACACCGCCGCGCGCATGCGCCGCTCCCGCTCGGCCGGTGGCGGTGGGGGCGGGCTGCCCGGCGCCGCGCCTGGCTCGGCCCCAAGCCCGAGCTCGTCGCCCGCCCCCTTCTCCTGCGCAGCAAGCGGGCGCGCGGCGCGAGACGGGGCGTGCAGATGGTCGCGGCGACGCTGGCGACCGCGGGTGTGCGAAGAGTCGAGCCATGCGGCAGCGCTGACCGCCGTGCTCGTCGGCCCCATGCAAACCCTGTGAGCAGAGGGAGAAGCACGCGGACTTACCAGGAGCCACCCAGCCGCCAGCAGCAGGCAGGGCGCGCCCGCCCATTCGGCTAACGCTAGCGCCCGCAGCTCATGGTTCAGTGCGTCTGCCTGCTCCCTCGGGGCGCAGCACGACAGCGACAGCCGCGCGGGCGAGCCTGGCGATGATGGGTACAGCGGCGGCAGCGAGAAGCGCAGGGCTGCGGGGCGGCCGTGCAGGCCCGCCGCGTCAAGTCTGCGGGGCGTGGTGTGTGTGGCGTGGGCGCATGCGTGGAGCGAGGCAGCGCGAGGTGGTGCAAGGCAGGCGGTGTGAATGCGACGGCTGCTGCAGCCCGTCTCTGCACCCGCCGATCGAGCTCGACCACAAGTATCATGCTGAGATACGGTACAATTAATCATGACAGTAATATTCAAACCCATTCACCGCAGCTCGCCACTGAGGTCTGGCAGCCAATCGAGCAAGGGGCTGGCTGTAGCTGCTGCTGCCCCTTCTGCAGCATCCCGTGCAAGGCCGAGTGCATGACGCTCTGCTGCATCCAGTACCAAGGCGCCGGGGTACACGCTTTCAAACGCCTCCAGCTCTTCAAGCTGGGCTCTTAATGCGTCAAGACGTGGCCCCATTCATCAAAACTCTAGATCACTCTACACACTGTCAAGGTGAATTGCGATTCAGAATTGCAAATCCATGATTACAGCGTGGGCGCGTTGCGCTGCTCACGCCCATTCATGAACTCCGGTCAGGTGAAAAAAAGGAATGCCGACGCAGTGACCCTCTGATGTCATCAGACCCAACCTGGGGCAGTGACCTGACCTGGGGTGTTCCGGTTCCAAAGGGATACTACAGTGCATTCGGAGCGATGCATGTGCACAGCCAGCATATGAAGCGTCATGAACTGCCACGTCAGTGATTACTGCAAGCATTACACACACATTACAAAACGCCGCCTCCAACGAAAGAAATTTGCAGGTGTGCCAAAAAATCAGCAGGAGCGGCGGCGATGCTGGACCTTGTAAGAGGTGCTCAGTCCCATGCCACACCGCCTATCCGGCCCGTGCCATGTGACTGGGTTCACAAGGGATCATGGAAGCTGCACTAGTGTAAGCTGCATGTGTGGGATTGTTGGCCCTGAGCAGGTGCCTTACTGCTGCCCGCTCACATCTCATGCACCACAATTGACTACAGTTCATCAACCACTATCAACCATTGACTAACCCACCGACTCGCACGCACAATGCACGACAGCAGTGCGCAGGTGCCGCAACCCATGTTTGCCGTGCGCATTTGCAGTTGGTGTAGCCCCCTGAACAGTCAACACCCCCCTGACTTGCAGTGCAACCACAGCAGTGCCAAGCTGCACACCCCGCACCACCTCATTCAAGAGCGACTGGAGCTGCTTACGGCGCACTGCACACCTTGCCCGCTTGCACATATCTTTTGCACGCTTGAAAACCCACGACAATAGGCTCGCTGTGGCTGGTGAATTGCTCTGCAGCGTTCAAAAGCATCCCGCAGCAGTCAAGTGATGCAGAACACCCTGCATGCGCAACTAGACAGTTACAATGAGCGGCAGTATTTGTTTGAGGAATGGAATGGGGCAGCTGTTTTGCGGTTTCTGCGGCGTGGCAGCGAAAGAAACCTCCAACGCCATGACAAGCCCCGAAATTGTGCAGTCGCACCGGACAAACACTTCAGCACACATGGTGCTGGTGCTGCGTGCGGTGGGATGGGGAGGCGCCAATTGCCGAGCGCCCAATTGAAAGTCGACACAGGCTGCAGCGGGCGGCGCGGGCAGCAACGCGCGCGCGTCCGGGTGCAGTTTTCCAACAGAAGTCGGCAGAATGGAGAGCTTGGATGTGACAGCGGCGGTATCTGTTTCCTCGCAAGGGCAATTTAGTTGCAAATTTTTGACCCGCAGTGCGGCGGCATTCGCCGCGTCCAGTCGTGTGTACCAATGTACGGGCTGCGTGTCCCTACCGTACTGCGGCGAGTGGCGGGCAGCAGAGCTTTGAAATTGTGGGAAGCAACGAAACAACGTCTTGCACAACAAAAGTGCTCACATTTCAGACATAGGCATGATTTATGGATGTAGCGGCCCCATGTTTGTGCGGGGAACAGGCTAAATGTGTTGCAAAGCTTTTGAGGGGAATCAAGGGGACAGCACCCGGCGCTGATGGCTGCAGGCAATCAGCCCCGCGAACAGACGCTCCGCCGCAGCGGCGAATTTGAAAAGTCCAGATTGCTTGTGGCGCAGCGCCACGCCCTCCTGCAAGGAAATGCCGAGCCCCACCCGTGTGAAGCGCGCGGCGCACCTCGACGGGAGCATGAATTGGGGAGAGGCACCCCTCAGGATTCAAAAACAAGAGGGGCTGCCGTGCAGATTGGTGGAGGGCGTCGCCCAAGCCGCGGCCCGCGCCACACGGGGGCTTGCTTTGCCAGTCATGCGCGGACCGCTTGTGGGGCGCGACGCAGGCTGCCACGCCCGCCAACAAGCAAATGCTCTCGTGTGGCGGGAAAGGGGGGCGGGCAAGAG